AATATTTGATAGTTTTATTATGATTATAAGATCAAGATATATTACAATTATTATATATATATATATATATATATATATATATATATATATATATATATATATATATATATATATATATATATATATATATATATATATATATATATATATATATATATATATATACCCACACACTGGATTAACAAGGGGAGGGTGCGTAGGGCAAAAGCCCCCTCCCCTCAAACTTACTTAAAGTACCTGTTTAAATTAAAAATCTTGCTGTTGTTTTTTTGCTACAAATTTTCTTTTCAACCCCCTAACATTCTTTTAAGATCAACATAAAAAACAAGAATTTTTTCAAACATTTAATGTTATGCACAACAAAGTTTAAATAAAATCAAAAAATACCAAATTAGTAATTAAATAAGCTACTGAAAGTCTTTTTTTGACTTAAACAAAGGCACAATTTCACAATTTCGCAATTGTGTTCTTATAAAACCATCTCTTTTATCCCAACCACAGACTGACTCAGCTGCTTCTGTGACTAATTTGACTGCTCTCTCGCAACTTTGAGTATGTAATGAGTATGGAGGTAGCTGCAGGGGAGAAACTATCAATGCATTGAGTTGGACTAACGACATGAATGTAGTGAAAATTGGTTCAGTAACAACCTCTTTTTTCCAATCAATAAGTTCTATAATGTCACATGCATCAAGGTTTATTGTTTGTGGAACTTTAAAAGGTCTAACATCATTTGAGCCCAGCTCACTTCCCTTCCTAACGGCCAATATTGTGTCGACTGCAAATAACCTTTGTTCTGAATTATCAGAACAGAGAAGCGAGACAAGTATATTCTCAGGATGAGCCCACCAAGATTCATTTCTGAGATAAAGTTTAGATGCTTCTTTAATCCTATCATCTTGCTTCTGCCAAAGTCGAAACAGCTTTAAAAGATGACAAGAACCGTATTTAATATCATGCTTTACTTTAATCTCAAAGAACATTGGAAGATAAACCTGAGTCATCCAAGTTGCAAGCAGTCTTAAGATCTCTGCATTAACAGGTTCAAGATCATGCTTACTCATATAAAGAAGCAAGCATCTCATGCCACAAGTAAGCCATTGACTATGAGACAATCTACCACATTTAAGAGCTTCTACTTCAGGATCAAGCTTTCCTTTCAGAATTGCATTCAAGTACTTCCATGCAACTAAACTGTCAGTGCTCATTTGCTTTAAGAAATCTTCACTGATATTAACAAGAGGCTCCAGAAGCAAAATAGGAGTAAATTGAGTAATTCTTTCAAGATTATCAACTTTGGAAAATAGTTTATCTACTGCTCCACACCATCCTTTATCTGAAGAAGTTGGTCCATCAAGTTTTTCAACAATATGACAGAATGGAAGCTCATTAATGTAAAGCCAGCAAAAAGATCTAAAAAGTTTTCGATTGAGAAGTTCTTCCACAAAATGAATCATTCCACCTTTCCATCAAGACATTTTATTTGTAGTATCACTGCCAATTAGTTGGAGATTAAGATCTTTACCTCTTTCCATTAACCAGTTGAATAATCCAATAGCACATTGCTTGGCTGGTTTAGATGTTTCTGACTTAGGCTTTGGTGTATAATGAGTAAGGTAACAACCTCTAAGTTCTTCTGTCACAGTTATATGATTTTCTTTGATAATTTTTTTTCTGAAGGTGCCTGTGGTTTTATCATGGATAAGAATTAAAGTTTTGTCTTTTCTACCATCAACAAAAATTCCAGTGATTATATTTCTTTCACAGTCAAAATTTTCTTCTATTCTGGAATACTTCATAGCATGCTCTTTGGCACGAAAAACTTTCATGCTATCACATATAAGATTTTTTTTATCTTCAACAAGTTTCCCTGCTTTCGTAATATCTTTTAGTAGACCATAATGATTGCAGCAGTAGCAGTCGATGATACACCAAATCTAACAGAAGCAACGGCAGCATTACTAATATCAAGGTAGTTTCGCTTAACATAATTATCTTGCTTTTCTATGGTCGAGTCCTCTTTGCTATCACTGACTATATTACTATCACTAACTTTATCGATATCACTGACTTCTTCACTATCACTGACTATCACATCATTTGAATTATTATGCATTTCTATTGTAACATCCACATTTTCAACATCAAATCTAACAGCCGGTGGATAAAATATTTCTAATGACTCTAACTTAGATTTTGAAGCTTCTTCTCGTTGTCGTGCGAGTCTTGCTTGATCGATTGACTTGCGTAAGTGTTTTAACCTAAGTTTGGCAGTCTCTTTAACATCCAAACCAAATTCTTGCATAGATGAAATACTGCCTTGTTTTTCTCGCTGGTTTTTTATCCAAATAAGCTCCTTTTGAGGAATTCTTAAATTTAAGTCACATTTGCAAAGGCAATGAGCACCGCTATCACAAGATTCTTTGCAAGGGGGATCATTCTCACTGCAGTAAACAATTCTGCATTTGCAAAGAGCAATATCTAAAAGTTTATCAAGCTTAGGCTCCCAGTGTTTTATGTAAGATTTTTGAGATTTGTTTCGAGCTATCTTAGAGAATGCAGACCAACTTCTACTGAGTCTTAGTGTTATTTCTTTTGTTCCACAAACTATGGGTTCTTTAAATTCTGTGTTGGAAATAAGCCATCGTTCTGCAACCTCATAAGCAACATTAGAAAAAATTTCTTGCATTGATAAATTACGCTGATTTTTTTCATAGACTAGTATTCTGTCTCGCTGCAGATCCAGACAACGCTGTAAACAGTCACATAAGGTTGGAAATTCAGTTTGGAGGAACTTTCTAGGACCTCCAAGATACTCACTTAGTTTGATGTTAACCGATTTTCTGGTTTTCTTGCTAACTAATAACGCCATTTTTCTTTTTTTAATATATTATGAGTCTGAAAGATATAAAGGCAGCAATAACAGCAATTAATTTGAAATTAATTTTAAATAGTAATTATAATATTTATAAGGTATATTTGTATATTAACTGATACTTATACATAAAATAATTTTTAAAAATACTCAAAACATATTATCAAAATTAAGCATAGGGCTAAACAGTATTTTAAATAATTATTATGTACATTTATAGCATAAATAGTCATCAATTAGAAAAAAACACAATATTTTTAGCAAGACTTGCTTTTTCACTAAAAAAAATTATACCATTCAACTCAGGGTATATGAATACATAGGAAAAGTGATGAACTGAATGAAATTCATAACATGCAAAAGTATGATATACCCTAATATATATATATATATATATATATATATATATATATATATATATATATATATATATATATATATATATATATATATATATATATATATATATATATATATATATATATATATATATATATATATCGTATACATGCATATATGCATGTCTGTATGAATGTATATATATATATATATATATATACATGAAATTAAAAATACACGATATTTACAACTATTAGCCATTTGTAATCATTAGGTAAAATACAACGTTTTTTCCGTTAAAAACTATTTATATAATAAGAACTTTTTTTTTAATTTAATGGGCATTTTAAGTAGGTAGGGGCATTTTTTATCATTTTTTTTAAAAATTGATTTTTTATGATTTGCCTATCATTTTTTCAACACAATGCTGTTTATAATTTTCTTATCTCTTTATTCATTTACATATGTGTCATAGCTCTATATATATGAGCCCAAGCACAAGTCACATTATTTAAGCGATGTAAGTCACATTATTTAAGCAATGTAAGTCACATTATTTAAGCAATGTAAGTCACATTATGTTAATTAAAAATCAATAGCAAGTAGTAAGTGCTGCTATTTATGCTGTTGCTATGGGAGCTAGAACACCATTACACCATTAGTGCATTAAACAGAACACATTTTTTTCTACACAGTAGCATGCCTAACTCAAAAGGCATTGGAGTTACATCACTTGTGATTTAATAAAGTTCTATGGAACTTTAAGTTTTATGCCTATACCGCAATCATCAGCCATTGAATACCAAATCAAAAACAAAAAAACTCGCTAAAAATTACAAAATACTGTGTAGGGGGATCTTCACGTCGCTAAGACATATTTGATGGCATAATTTTTTTTGACATATTTTTTGTCAGAAAAGTTCTCAAAATATTTATATATTGTCAGATAGTTAGACCTATAAAAATCTCGACCTATTAAGTTGTTCTACAAAAAGAACATCTACTAAAAAGTGGAACTAATTTTCAGATAACCTACTGAGGCCTAAATTGTTTTCAACCGATTATAGTCTTTTTTATTTTCAACTGATTTATGACGTTTTTGTTTCCGACCAATTTTTTTTTGACCTATTTTATAGGTTTTCATTTTCAACCAATTTGAGTTAAATTAATTTTCAACCGATTATCCGGTCTGTGTTTTTAAGATTTTTCTATTAAAAATAAGATATATTTTTTTTAAAATTAACAATTAATAAGCTTTCTAAGCATTCATTGAACCTTATACCTCCTGATTCTAAAGACAGCGCTTTAAACACTGCACCAAGACTGATCAAATTTCGCTCGTATTCAAATGAACAACAAAATATACAAAATACATACCGGAAAAGCGTAGTTATAAAATTGAAAATACACTAGGTTGAATATTCAGGAGGTTGAAAATTCAGTAGGTCAAAAATACAGTAGGTCAATGATTTAGTAGGTTGGAAATTTAGTAGTATATGTTTTAATTAGGTGTAAATATAAAAATCTAAAATTGTTGGTTGAAAATCAAAAATGTCATAATCTACAATTTACGAAGTTTCAAAACTAGCTTGAGTTATAGGCCGCCCTACTGTTTATGCAGTTGCTATGGCAACTAGAATACCATTACACTACTAGTACATTGAACAGAACACATTTATTCCTACATAGTAGCGTGCCTAACTCAAAAGGCATTGGAGTTACACCACTTTTGTTTTAATGGGCTTTATTTATTTCAATTTAAATAAAATATATATATAAACTTTACTGTTAGCACAAAAGAAGATATGAGATTTCCAATTATTCTTTTATCATCATCCAATGATAATTCACTGAAAAAGAAAGAAAATTTTTAAAAATAATCAAACAACTAATAGTAATAATCAAACAAATCAGTTTTAAATCACACAGTTTTTAATGTAAAAAGTAACCTGACTGAATTGTGCATAGTTTTACAAATTAACATAAGGGAATTTATTTTTGCTGGATCAGAAAGTACAGAATTGCTCCTATATAAAAAGATTTTTAAAAACAACTTTATAAAAATAGAAAATACAATGAAATGATACAAAAATTTAGACAGCACTTAGCACAACACACTTTTAGTAAACAAACAACCTACTTAATAAAACCATTCATTACTATTTTAGAGGCTTCAACTTTTATCGACTCTTTTTGAAACATATCAAGAAATGGAAAGAAGTTATTCTAAATATAAACCTTGTTACAAATGATTCACACTCAATTTTAATATTAAACTTTTCTTTTTTTTTAAATTAAATAATAGTAAAACATAATTTAAATAAATTTCCCTCACCATTGTTATTACCATGTTAAAATCTTCAATTGTAAAAACAACTTTTGACAAAATAGAGAGAAGCTAAGAGTAAACCAATAGAAAAGTAAAAACAATATTATGTGTAAAGAGAAAATCAATGAGACAATTATGTAGTTACTTCAGTGTAGTGATTTTCGAAACTATGATCTGGCATCATATTTTTTATAATATTTCCAAGCAATATGTTCACTTCTTGTGCACTCAAATACTTTAATGGGTATTCAATCCATACTTCTGCACAGGATATGTATTTCTAAAACAAATTTCAGAACTGTTTCAGTATTTTTATTTAAGAATTTAGTTAAAAAAATACAGCAATAAATAATACATTGGATACATATTAACACAAGTGTATGTCACCATTTATAAAGTAACAATAAGCCATTTTTAAACTAACAAAGTTTAAATTATTTCTAGTTATACTTAAAGATGTCTCATTATATCTCATTTAATTAGAAGTTATACCTCAATGACCTAAATAGGTTGAATTGAGGTTATACTATATATTATAAAAAAAAAAAAAAAAAAAAAAACTTATATACAATTTCTTCAGATTTTTAAAAATTATAATTTTATTTCAGCAAATCTAAAATAACTCCTAAATAGTCAAAACTTATAGAATATATTATTGCATAATTTATGCAATACAATAATAAATCAATAATGGCTAATATAAATTAATTTATAAAAATAACTTTGCAATAAATTTAAATAATCAGACTGCTCAACATTACAAACACACATCACAGCTTTAAATTTTTCAACAAACAATAATATTATTTCAGTATGTCAACAAATACAAACCATTTGATGTGATTAGATACAATTGTAAATAATGCAAATTAGGCCTTTCGATAACAATTAAAAAATTAATTTTTATCAAATATACACTAAAAACTAAAAAATATAGCAAATATAATTAATACATACTGCAGGTTCTTTAATTTTCATAACAACTTTCCAAACTTCATTAAGCAAGAGTATTTTTTCTTCTTCAAGTGGCTTTTCCGAGCAAAGAATAACACCCAATAACTTGTATAACAAATGCTAAATAATTTATGCATGTATTATTAAAATTTTCTTTAAGGTGTGTTACATTAAAATTTTAATATAGGATAAAAGCTTTCTTTCTAAAACATCTTGATGTGTTTAATAAATATCAGTAAAACTAAAAAAAAATTTGACAATCTATTTTACGAATGACATAAAAGTTGAATTGAGTTTATTAATTATATCATTTTGACACCTAATAACTAAATATTTTACTTAATGTTATAATTGATACATAAAAATTATTTTAACTACTTAAAATTGTCAAATACTTACAGTATTTCAAACTTTATGTGAAGTGTCAGTTCACATAAGAACATAAGAACAAATAGGTCAAAAATCAGTGTGAGTATCAAATGGCTTTTCCAATAAAAAAAACAATTGTAGCATTAAAATAGACAAGCTTGTGGATGTTTGTGAATTTTCCGCTTAAAAGTGAAAACCTAGAAACTGACAGGTAAAGTTTTGTAACCGTGGCAAGGGTAGCATACTGCTGAATAAATCCTCAATAAAAACATGATTCAAAAAATGTTAGCTCAAACATTTAACTTATCTCATATTGTTTTCATATCAGGGTCTCATATTGTCACAAAAAAACCTATCCTAGCAACCATAAATTTACCCAAGAAAAATTTTAATAAAAGTTTCAATAAACAAGATACAAGTGAAATTAAAATGATATTCATTAATGATAAAGTTTTAACAGTTTTTAATAATTAAAATTTGTACAGTTTTTTTTTTTTTTTTCAGCTTGTACTTATTTCCAATTATTTTCCAATCTTTTTCTACATTCTTTTTCTACATTACTGTTACTATTTTTTTCTTTATTCTCAAAGATTTTTACTTTTATGTTCAGGTTGTACTTATTAGACTACCTTTTTTTTTTAATTTTATTTCAAAGATTTTTTTTTCTGTCATTATTTCAAAGATAGTCAACTTATTAATATTGCAAAAAGAAAAAAAAAATGATGCACTTCATTATATTTACATATTAAAGCGTCTTACTTATTCAACCATCTTACTTAACTATCTTGACATTTTTATAAAAACTATTGAAACACACACAAAATTTTATCAACCATTTAAAATTCTTTTTCAATATTTTACAGTCACATATCACTGTTTTATTAAAACATTTTTACATATCCCTGTTACATGTCATTGTTTTAATAAAATAATTTTAACAAATCACTGTCACATGTCACTGTTTTATTAAAATAATTTTAACATATCCCTGTTACATGTGACTGTTTTATTAAAATAACTTTAACATATCCCTGTTACATGTCACTGTTTTATTAAAATAATTTTAACATATCACTGTCACATGTGACTGTTTTATTAAAATAATTTTAACATATCACTGTCACATGTGACTGTTTTATTAAAATAATTTTAACATATCTCTGTTACATGTGACTGTTTTATTAAAATAATTTTAACATATCGCTGTTACATGTGACTGTTTTATTAAAATAATTTTAACATTATTTTTCATACTTATTATATTACAAAGTTGTTTCGTTTTTCTTGTTCTTAATTAAAAGTAAATTTGTTTCTTTTGGTGTTTGTGAATAAAAATGTTAAAGAATAAAAATATTTAAAAAACTGAAATAACTCAAGTTATTTCAGTTTTTTAGCAAGTGATATACTAATTACTTGAAATGACTTCTGTCAATTAAACCATAAGCAAATGGGATACATTATGATATTGAATACTTAGTGAATATTTTACTATATAATTGGGCATATGTAATATTAACTTAAGTAATTTTTTTTACTGTTTTCATTTGTAGTTTTTTTATACAGAAAGATAATTGAAACATATTTAGCTAAATATCATAATGTTTATAGAATAATTGTCATGCAAGTTGAAATAATTCAAAGATTATTTCCCTAATGTTGAAATTTGAAAAAAAGATTTAAGCTGAGGAAAATTCTTTTTATTTTTGCAAAAAAACTTAAAGATTGGACAATTGAAAAATGCTCTAAATTCTTGTTTACTGACAAATTATGTTCCAGTTTCTAATTGTGATTTAAAAAATTACTATTACTATTATAATTTGCTAATGATAAATAAAAATGACAAAACATAATAATACATAAAAATTATATTTACTATTTTGAATGCAAACTTAGTGAGTTAACTTATCCTACTTTGAAACATAAACTTTACCAAACAAAATATTTACCTTGGAATAACCGTTATCTTCAGATTCTTTTATATAATTGATAAACTCTAATGCTCTGTAAAAAGTAAAGTAAATAAAAAATACAGTAAAATAATGTTGTAAAAAATAATGCATTTTAAATTTATTTATTACAGCAATTATATATTTTTTAATAAACTCACCTCCTAAAGGTTACATTGCCACTACAGCAAATGAGGCTACTTGTTTTTTTGTTTAATGTTTAATCTTTTTTTAACCCTCAGTTCTAGAAGGCAAATCTTAACAAGATTGTTGCACTGAGAAACAGGTTAAGCGCAGTACTTCTCAAGATGTAGGGTAGATTTGAACTCCAAACCTTTTGATTGTGAGTCAAAAGTTTATTATTAGTCCACTACCCCATTATATGCTTAAGATTAAAAGGTAAGAAAGGAGATAAAAAGGAGAAGAAAGGAGATAAAAATGAAAAGAAAGGATATAAAAAAAAGGAGAAAGGAGAAAAATAAGAAGAATAAGAATAAAAATAGAAACTAGAAATATGATGGAGAGACTAGAAGGATGATGTTGGAGAACAAGAAGAATTATATTGGAGAAACTTGAAGAATAAAGTTGCACAACTAAAGTTTAAACTGTGGAGAGATAAAAATGTGAGTATGATTTATGTGGAGACATTGATAAAAATGCAAGTTATTCTATAATTACTACATGATTAATTTCCAAATGAAAAATCATATTAAAAAAATATTAAAAACCTTTTACTAAGTTTACTGTTCTTTTTGATTTCTGTTATTTTTATTTGTGGATTCAATTATCAATTAGTTTATTCAACATTTTAAAATATGATGAAAATTTTGAACTGTTTAGACTAACAAAAATCTCTTAAATAGTTAATTAGCAACCACTATTGTTTTCTCCAAAACTTTAACTGTTGTTATGACAATGCAAAGTTTCTTAACATGAAATATATACAATAATTCACAGAAGTACAGAGATTAAGCACACTTTGTGCTGATTAACTTATACCTCTTAGTGATACTGATTAAGAAATGAAGTATTAAATGGTTTGTTTGTATTATTTCTAAAATATATTAAATCATTAATCTTGCATATTACAAGTAATTATAAATTTAAAAAATACGATACATGTTATTTGAATGTATTTGAATGACAAAAACACTGCTTTTGTTAACTTAAAAACATGAAGATATAAATGGAAGCTTATTATCTTTTTTTATCAAACTTTGTAAGCACTAACTCTTCAAAACAGTTCTGCGGGTGAGGAGGAGATGCTCCCAAAAGGTAATTTTTTGTTTAAAAAAAACATTCAACAATATAAGATTACTTATGACTTTTAAAATTTAAATTTCAAAATTTTTTTAGCATACCTGTTAGCAATGTATTTCGGCTGAAAAGCTGATAAAACTGAATGAAGAAGAAGAGAACTTCTACATGACTTACATTCGTTAAGTATTTCTGTTAAAGAAACCTAAATTATTAGTAAAATTAATTTAGTTCATAAAAATATTTTGTTATATATATATATATATATATATATATATATATATATATATATATATATATATATATATATATATATATATATATATATAATATATATATAAATAAATAAAAGGTTAGATGAGAAAAAACAACTTTTTTACGGTACTTAAAGTTTCATGCCGTTTTTGGCACTCATCAGCCATATATTTAAATCAAGAAAAAACCGTTCAAAAATACAATTAAAAAACCGTTACAAAATTCAAAAAAAACAATGGAATGAGTTCTGACGTCAAATAATTATAATACAAATAATAGCAATAATAATAATGATAATAATAATAATATAATAATAACAATAATAATAATAATAATAATAATTAATAATAATAATAATAGCAATAAAATTAATAACAATAATAATAACAATAATAATAATATTATGGAAAAAACATCTTTTCTAATCGCCAGTGTCAAATTGAGAAAGGAGGAATCTGTTTCTATGTCTGCACTTAGAAACAATCTCACTCCTTTTATTTAGTAGATTAGTATTTTTATAATTTAGGATTTCATATTTTTCGGTGAGACATAATTTACAAGATTTGGATGTAGGATTATATGCTTTACATCGCCTGAGAATTTTCCACTTAACTATAGGAACTAAATTGGCTTCTTTTATTTTCCATACCTGCTTTGACAGCTCAGTATCATTTTTGTATTTTGGGATGTTAAAATGCGATGGAAAGCGTTTTTCTTTTTAAACAAGAGTTCAAATAGTAAGAACAATTTTTATTATAACTACGGATTAAAAACATCTAATCATCCAAAACAAATTACAGAAATGCTGGCTTTTGAGAACGAACTCATTGATCTTGTAAAACACATTAAGTTTCGAAAGGTACAAAGCAATTTTCAAAATAAACTAAAACAAGATATAAACATTATTCGAAAATCTAATCAAACTTATACGTATGCTGATAAAACATATAATCTTTACAAATTATCTAAAAATGATTACAACCACTTGTTAAGAAATGCCATCACTTCAAATTACAAATTATCTAACTCAAATAAATCTAATAAATAAAGTAAACATAGAAGGTAAACGTCTTTTGAAAAATTATGAAGTTTTCAATAAAATTGATATTAATACAGCTTCCAATTGTTTTATCACCTTAAAAGACCATAAAGATAACTTTGAAAACAATCCGACTGTCCGTTTATTAAATCCTGCTAAAAATGAGGTTGGAAGAATTACCAAGGATATTCTTTCTAAAATTAATACAGAACTAAGAAGTATATTACAATTAAACCAATGGAAAAACACTCGAAATGTTATCGATTGGTTTAAATCCATAAAAGACAAACACTTTTATAAATTTTTAATTTTTGATATCATTGACTTCTACCCTTCTATTAATGAAACACTTCTAAAAAACTCTATCAAATTTGCAGAGCAACACTTAACACTAAATAAAGAGAATATATCGTTAATTTTTCATGCAAGAAAGTCTTTGCTTTTCAATAATAATCAGGTTTGGATAAAGCAATCAAGTGGTTTATTTGATGTTTCCATGGGAGCTTTTGACAGCGCGGAGGTTTGTGAGCTTGTAGGAATATTTCTTCTTTTCGAAATTTCAAAATTTTATAACAAGTTTGAGGTTGGTTTATACCGTGATGATGGATTAGCAGTTTTTAGGAATAAAAGCGGCCCTCAAATGGAAAAAATAAAAAAGCATCTTTCCGAAATATTTAAATACAATGGCTTACGGATTTCTATACAATGCAACATGAAAATTGTCAACTACCTCAACGTCACTCTAAATCTTAGTGAGTGCACCCTTAAACCTTATCTCAAACCTGATAATACATTAAATTATATCCATGCTGATTCAAATCACCCTCCAAGTATACTAAAACAAATACCACACTCGGTTGAACTTAGATTATCTACAAATTCTTCTACCAAATAAATATTTCAACAGGCTGTTCCTCTATATAATGAGGCTTTATTAAAGTCTGGTTTTAAATGTAATCTAACATATAATCCTAAAGCAATATCAACTAAAAAACGGAACAGAGCACGCAACATCATTTGGTTTAATCCTCCATTTAGCAAAAATGTTAGCACCAACGTGGGAAAATGTTTTTTGAAATTAATTGGCAAACATTTTCCTAATAATAACAAACTACATAAAATCTTTAACAGGAACACAGTCAAAGTTAGCTACAGTTGTATGCCAAGTGTGAAATCTATCATAAATTCGCACAACAAATACATTTTATACAACGATACAAACTCTAATCAAGAAAACTGTAACTGCTTAGATAAAAATTTCTGCCCGTTGTCCAATAGATGTTTAACAAGCAACATTTTATATCAACCAACTGTAACCACCACTAGTGATTCATCTCCTAACGAAAAATCCTACATCGGTGTAAGTGAGACTTCTTTTAAATTGAGATACGCTAACCACGTTAAATCTTTTAACATCCCAAAATACAAAAATGATACTGAGCTGTCAAAGCAGGTATGGAAAATAAAAGAAGCCAATTTAGTTCCTATAGTTAAGTGGAAAATTCTCAGGTGATGTAAAGCATATAATCCTACATCCAAATCTTGTAAATTATGTCTCACCGAAAAATATGAAATCCTAAATTATAAAAATACTAATCTACTAAATAAAAGGAGTGAGATTGTTTCTAAGTGCAGACATAGAAACAGATTCCTCCTTTCTCAATTTGACACTGCGATTAGAAAAGATATTTTTTCCATAATATTATTATTATTGTTATTATTATTGTTATTAATATTATTGCTATTATTGTTATTATTGTTATTATTATATTATTATTATTATTATTATTATTATTATTATCATTATTATTATCATTATTTGTATTATAATTATTTGACGTCAGAACTCATTCCATTATTTTTTTTGAATTTTGTAACGGTTTTTTAATTGTATTTTTGAACGGTTTTTTCTTGATTTAAATATATGGCTGATGAGTGCCGAAAACGGCATGAAAGTACCGTAAAGAAGTTGCTTTTTCTCATCTAACCTTTTGTTTATTTATTTATTGATCTATTTTGTGATTATTTCACTTTATATTGATCACTCTCAAATCGAAAAAGAGTTGATTATTATCAAATAATCAAAACAACAATATATATATATATATATATATATATATATATATATATATATATATATATATATATATATATATATATATATATATATATATATACATATATATATATATATATATTTAAATTTATTTATTTCAATTCACCTCCTCAAGTTCATGAAAGCCACTACAGTCGAGGAGGCTAATTTAGTTGTGGTTACAACACTCTCTCAACTTTATAACTCTGAAACACGAACCTTGACGAACAAGGCGGTTGCACAGAGAAACAAGTTGAGTGCGGTACTACCAGAGACATGGTAGGGATTGAACTTGGAACTTCTCGCTTAAGAGGCTAGCACTTATCCACTACACCACTACCCCATTATATTATACATATATAAATATGTACCTATATATACTATAGGTACATATTTATATAAATATGCCTATATATATTTATTTATTGATTTTCATCTTTATTTTTTTTTACTTCATTTTTTTTAGTTAAAACTTCATTTTTTTAGAAAACTTCATTTTTTTTTTAGTTATTTAAAAAGTTAAATAAATTTTATTTTAGGAACTACACAATATTAATAGCAATAAAAACTTACATGAAAAAAAAATATGCCATTTCATTATTATTTAAAATATATTATATAATATTCTAATTCAATATTTGTAAATTAAGTTTAAAAACTTCCAATGAGGCCCCAAAAGTAGTTTTTCTTTTATAAACTCGCACCATCTGAAATTATAAATAATTAAAATGTTTACTTTCTCTGGTAATTTAAATTTATATTTAATACCGGATAAATATAATACCTTATTCTTATTTTTGCAAATTAAGATTATAATTATTTTTTAATTTTTTTCTTTTAGGTATTAGCAGGTTGTACTTCGCTTTCTTTCACTGCTGCCTGCTGTTATAATTTGTTTTAAAAAATACTTAACTGATGATATGTAGTTTTTTGCTTTAAACTTTAAAAATCATTACATTATTAAAAGAAAGTAAAAATCTTATCCTATCGAATTTAATAGTGTTAGTAGTATTTGAGCATGTTTAACACGGAACCCTTGGCAGCCATTGCAACTGAGGTAGTGGCAAGAAAGAGTCGCAGCATTTTGTTTTAAAAGAAAATGTGAATGAACCTGTATGCAAATTTCTAACGTACATAAACTTTAAATTAAGTAATGTTAAAACATACTGAAACATTTATCAAGTTTTACAGTTTGATTTTCACTTGAAAATTGCATTGTGCCAAGCTCTCCTTTTTTTTGATCTATAACATTTGTTTCCGTTAAAAATATTAAAATATAGTTTTAAAGATTTCTCCTATCAACGTGCCAGTGTGGCCGAGTGGATAGCTATCTGAGCAAATAAGTCGTGGTTCAAGTCCTACCACTGGCAACTCTTTTTTTAAATTTTTTTCGATTATTTTAAAATACAAAATATTTTTGAAGTTTTATAGAGATTATATTCAAACATATGTAACGATATTATACACTTTAATGAACAAAAAGATTTTAAAAAAGCTTAAATTTCTAAAAACATCAAATCACCGAAAGAAAAAATTTGTTGCATATGTGTCATGATTGAGATACTTATGTTATTAATGTGCTCAGGTAATTAGTCCTAATAAACTACGAATGGTCTGAAAAAAAAGTCTGAAACTTAATAAAGAAAAAACTTTCTAAGACAGTCCTGCGACTCCAGAAAGTGTTGCTGTGAAGGCAAAAAAAAAAAAGCCCATAGCTAGAAAAAAATTTAAAACTTTCTTTTGACTATGAAAAGTTTTTTTTGCTATAAATATATGCTGCAACAGTTTTTCAAAACACCTTAATATGCTTATTACGTATTTTGAGAAAAACGCAATAAAAAAAAAAAATTATAAAAAAAAAATTAAAAACTAACTCTTTGTAAAACGTTTTTTGAAACAAATAATTTTTATGACTTTTTTCGAAATTCTTTGAAAATATGTAATCAATAACGTTTGTAGACATAGACTAACTCATTTTGTAAAAAAGTCAAAATTGATATTTTTTACCTTAAGGCGTTTTGAAAAACGGCTTCAGTATGGATGATACAACAAATATGTTGAAATAAGATAATTTTGACACAAAATTTAAAAAGTCTTAACAAAAGCCACTAAACCAAAAAAATTAAAAGTAATTGCAGTTTAGTGCACTTAAAAACTTAATATAGTGTGTTGGTGTTTGCAAAGAAACATTATATAAATCATTTTTTAATTTTAATATAAAATAATTTTTTTTAAAACTTTGTAGCGCTTAAATAGCCCTATATAAACAAATATAAATAAATGTTTATAAAATGTAAAAAATAAACAAATATGTTATTTGTTTATATATATTGTTTATAAAATGTAAAAAATCCACTTATATAACGTTTTATTCAGGATCATATTTAATATAAGTAAACTTTTCTAATAATTACAAGTCTTTTTTTGCTCAAGCTATTTTGTTTTGATTTTTTGTAGTTATGTTATTATATTTAAAAAAATTGACAAGATTGAAAAAATATGAAGCATATTGTCACAACTAAGTGGAAAATTTGAAACTTTAACTTTAGATTTGCCCCTCTCTCAATAATTTCTGATTGCTAAAAATATGTCATCTGCTTCTTAGACCTTTCAAAATGATAGTCATAAAAATAAGATTTTATTTCCATTTTTTTAAGAAAATTTTTCTATGAAAGATATATGAAATATATTTTTATGGGATAAATTCTAATAAAAACAAAAACTATTTATTTATAACTATTATAATAAATAAATCTCTTATCCATGAAAATGATATATTTGTACAAGTTTTATACATTTTTATGCATTTGTATGCAACATTAAAATTAATTTAAAAAAATGTAAGATAAATGCAAAAGGAAACTTGACGCATAAAGGTTTATTTTGCCACAAACTGACGTCAATGTGCAAAATCTTTTTGGCTTAACTTTTAGATTAGTGTTTAATAATATTCTTTAGTTCTTAATCATAATCATAAGAATGAATTTTTTTTAATGACTATGTTTTAGTGCTCTAAGATCTTAGTTCCATTTGTATAGCGTTATGTACAAACGTCTGTTAGTGTAAGCATCTTAAACATATGTTGAGTTTGCAGGCATTATATGGAATAATTGCGTATATCTATATATCTATAAAATGAGAAAACTTGAAAATCTTATTTTAAATTTTATTTTATTTTATATATTATTTTATATATCTATTTTATATTATTTTATATAAAAAGAGAAAACTTTAAAATTTTATTTTATCTTTTTTGGTATATTATTATTTTTTTGCTATAAATATATAAGCAAGATTGATGTTAAGTTTTTTACTCTTAAAGTTTTTTCCAGAATAAATTATTTTACTAAAAATAATTGAAGTAAATAAGAAATAGTAATAAAAATAATCTGTGAGGAATAGATATGTAAATTAGTAAAGACCTGTATTTTAAGAATCCGAAAAGCTAGTATATATAAGGAAAAAGTATAGAAAAGTTCGGTTTGGAATACATTTACAATGACCCATATTTTTTCAGGTTCGATCTCAGCTAGTTTTATTATATTTTAAAACAATTTTATATAAATTTGTATTTTACTATACTTTATATATAGAAAGTTGAACCTTTTCCTACCATTTTTAAATCAATATTCTAGAATGCTATCATTATATATATATATATATATATATATATATATATATATATATATATATATATATATATATATATATATATATACATATATATATATATATATATATATATATATACAGCAGGCTATTTGACATTAGGTGAGTATGACATCATCATGCTCACCTAACTCAGCAGTATAAGATATATATATATATATATATATATATATATATATATATATATATATATATATATATATATATATATATATATATATAAAATACTATTATTTATTACCTGCATCATAAACTTTTGATTATTTAGTACAAAACATGTCACATGTCACATAACCATATAATCATGATCAAAATGTCATATGTATATACATATATATATATATATATATATATATATATATATATATATATATATATATATATATATATTTATATAAATATATTTATATAAATATATATATATATATATATATATATATATATATATATATATATATATATATATATATATATATATATATATATATATATATATATATATAACATTATTTCTTCGATTTTTGACATTATTATCTCTTATTTTTGGACATTATAATCTTTTTTTTTTGACATTAATATCTCTTATTTTTTTGATATTACTATCTCTTTTTTTTTTTACATAATTTTTTTTTTTTTTAATTTATTTGATATAATTGTCACATATTTTTTTGATATCATTATCTCATATTTGAACATAATTATTAGGGATGTACCGAATCTGAAGCTTGGACAGAAGTCACTTGCCAAAGCCAAAGCTTTTGCACTTACATAGGTAAAATTTGCTATCTTGCACATCTAGCTAACTAGGGATAATACTAATAGTTGAAAAATATGAATGTAACAAAGAAAAAACAAAGAAAATAGAAAATAATTATTTTGAAAATTAATTTATTTGAAAATTAACATCAATTTTTAATTAAATTTGTAATAAATAAATGAAATAACAATTTCATTTATATATTTTTTATTTGTTCCATTTTCCTTTAAGAGTTTTTCCTCTTGGATTTGTACTATCATACTTTTTTCCATTAATAAATTCAAATATTTTTGTTTGTTGTAAATGATACTCTGAATGAAAGCAGTAGTACTCTTGATATAAAATTTCCATAAACATATTTTGTTCCGTTTCTTTAAAAAATTTAATTTGAAACGGTTTTGAGCATAATTGCAACTTTTTGACAAACAATATCTTTGTATTTATGAAAACAATTTATGAAAACTTAAATAAAATATACAAAATCACCATTTTGTTAAGTAGGTAAAAAAAAGTTACAATATAGTATATATAGGTCAATCAAAGTAAAGGAGAAAATTACAAGTAGTAGAATTATAGTAATTATATCGTCAACAATAAAATTGTTTTATATTTAATATAACAGTAGCTTATTACTTTAATTACCTAAAAAAACTCGCAGAAGTCAATGATTCAGTAAAAACTGACCCTGGCTTTGGCTGAAGCTTTGGTACATCCATAATAATTATCTCTTATTTTTTTACCATAATTATCACTTATTATTAACAGTTCCTATACTTGTTATTTTCATTATTTTTATCTTTGTTTTTTTTTTTTTTTTTTTTTTTTTTGATTTTTTTTTGATTTTTTTTTATAAATACCTCCAAATTAAGATTCAGATTTTTTTCTTCCTGTTCATTGTGCTCAGTATCATTTCTTTTTACTTCACCATGCATTGTGCTCAGTATCATTTCTTTTTACTTCACCATGCATTGTGCTCAGTATCATTTCTTTTTACTTAACCATGTATTGTGCTCAGTATCATTTCTTTTTACTTCACCATGCATTGTGCTCAGTATCATTTCTTTTTACTTCACCATGCATTGTGCTCAGTATCATTTCTTTTTACTTCACCATGCATTGATTTTGCTACAGTTCTGCTTTAATTTTTTGTTTTTTTTTTATCTCAAAGTTTTTCAGTTTCATCTTCAGTTTTTCTATTAAGGCTACCCACCATTTTTTTTCAACTTTATTTCAGAAATAGTCAAACTGAAATTTTTTCATTCCGTAAAAAAATGACAGAAAAACAACCCTTACACTATATTACATTTCCTTATTTATGCATCCTGACGCATTATGCAACATTATAATTTTTTGAAAACTAATAAAATATACAACAGTATCAGTATAAATTATGTAACATTATAAAACCCTACAACAGTATAAAACAATTGTTTTATATTCTTGTATGATTGATATATTTTTATATCATTGCGTATAGATACGTTAAAAATTTTATTGTACTTCTTTAATTACAATGTGTTTATTGTTATTGTTATTGTATATTGTTATTGTTTGTAAATAAAAACCTTGTTAGATATTAAAATTTGTTAAAAATAAAATTTAAAATAACTTTAAACAAAAGGGCAACAATAAAACAACTTTTACAATTGAACAAATATTTTTAGAATTTTGTAACTTAAACTAAAACAAACAAGTTTAAAGCTGTTTACAAAAAACAGATTTAATTCAAGTTATTAAAAACTATTTTTTCATCTATTATTTTAGTTTATATAATTTAACTAATATAAAAAAAAAATTTTATTGCATATTAAAAAGTTTTTAACTAAAAAACTCTTTTTTTTGCTTTTCACAATTGCATAATTAAACTTTTCTCAAGTGCTTTTTAACTTTAAATATACAAAGTTTTTATGTCTTTGTGTTTATCTAAATAAAATACAGCCTAAAAAACATTATTCTTTTTTATTATTACATTTTTCTCTTAATTAAGCTGGTTTACACAGATATGGAATGAGGCAAGCTAAAGGTCACTAAAAGCAAAGAATATTTAATTTGTTATATTACTTGTTTAACAATAACACTGCTTTATACCTCTGAAGCTTTGTAGACAACACACTGCAATATCCAATTTAAAGCTGGTAGAAACAAGTCTGTGTAAGTAGACATATCTACATAAAAAAAGTATTTAACTATTTAGTATATGCAACAAACACAAAAACACAAAAAATTGAGTTTCAACAATTTCTTTATAAGCAACAAAGCAATTTCAATAAGTGAATTTTCAGAAAAATATTGAGGATTTTTTGAGGCCTAGCAATTTATTTTTCAAAGCTTATTTTTTAATTTTAAAATGAATGAAATCATTTCAATATTCCACATTTAAATGAAATCTACATTTACATAAAATACAAATGTATATATGTATTAGGGATGCGGAGTCCCAAAAAGACTCCACCTTTATAACTTTATTTTTTTACGGCCTCTGGTGTCCAGAAGCTCTAAAAATGTTGGTTGATTAATGATCTACTATAAGAAAAATATTTATGATATTTAATGAATTGGAACTTATTGTTTTTAAGCCTGGAATCCTACAGTCCCAGAGTCCTTGCCGCCATTATACCTAATATATATATATATATATATATATATATATATATATATATATATATATATATATATATATATATATATAATATATATATATATATATATATATATATATATATATATATATATATATATTACAAAAACATTTTACTTATTGCATTTCTTTCAGTTTGTAAGAAACTCTGATATTAATTATAAAGTATTTAAATACTAAATGAAATTTAAAGAAAACTAGAGCTTTGTATTTGAAGAAATATCAAGAAGAAAAACACCATTTGGAAAGATGCATTAAAATGACTACAAACCAAATTTATTTAAAGATATTATTAAAAATATATATCTAGATATAAAATAAGTAAAAATTGTAAAAACTGTATGTTTAATAATAACTTCTTCTTTTTTTTAAACATTTTTGCCCTTATTTTGAATTAAATTAAAAAAAAAAAAATTATATATATTTATATATATATATATATATATATATATATATATATATATATATATATATATATATATATATATATATATATATATATATATATATATATATATATATATATATATATATATATATATATATATATTTAATTATTAAAATATTGATACCATTTGTGAAGTCATTGCAATCAATGAACTAAAATAAACTATTGCACTAGATATCTTAGCTTCATGTCATTGTTGCATGCTAAAATTTCATATTCTCTACAGCTTTGTCACTATTTCAATAAGCAATCGCTCAAACATGGTAATAAAATTTAAAAATAAAAAACACCTTAGTGCGTTATAAAGCATTAGGGGGTAAAAAATTACAAAAATCTTTTTAAAATAAAATTTTCTAATGTTTAAGTAATAATTTTATAAGAGTTTAACTATATCATATAAAAAAATTAAATAAGTTAATTTGAAGTTTTATGCACCAAAACATTAAACAATTATAATTACTTTGTTATTATGATGTTATTAACCTTCGCTTTTAATCTGATAAAAAGCTCTGTGCTCGAGAGTTGTTTTAAACTTATCTTTGAATGTTTTTATTTTTATTTATGCATTAGCTATTGTGAAACTTTATTGTGAGTTTTCGTTAAAAATGTGATAATTTGATTTAAAAGTGATGATTTGATTTAAAAATATGTCAAAAGTAATAACTTTAAAGCATGAAGTATTTTTTTATTCACAAAGATCAAACTGTTATGAAACAAAAACTAAATCAATGAAAAAAAAAAATTTAATCGACCAGCCAAAAAAAAACAGTTTTATGTGTTACTTACAATTTTATGTTAGCCAATTATTTTTTTATTTTGCATGCTCTGTGTGTGTGAATATATATATATATATATATTATATATATATATATATATATATATATATATATATATATATATATACACACATACATACATACATACATACATATATATATATATATATATATATATATATATATATATACACATACATACATACATACATACATACATATATATATATATATATATATATATATATATATATATATTTTATATATATATATATATATATATATATATATATATATATATATATATATATATATATACACACATTTGGTTTAAAAACTTATTTAACTTTATATACAAATATCCTATGATAATAAAATATTTTTAAACTTTTTTTTAATTACAACAAAATAAATAATATCAAAAAAAAGCAATAAAATATTTAACAAAATGTTAGCAAATTATAAAATGGTAATTAATATAATAAAATATTTAACAAAGATAAGCAAATTATAAAATGGTAATTATTATAATAAAATATTTAACAAAAGGTTAGCAAATTATAAAATGGTAATTATTAAAAACAGTTGAACCATTATAAGATCTCTTTTTACATAATAGTTATCATTTTATAAGTCATTAACCTTTTGTTAAATACTTTAATATTTTTCGCTATTTTCTATTTTGCCATAATTAAAAAAATGTTAAATACGGTAGAATATTTGTATATAAGATTAAATAAGTTTTTAAACTCAACTGAAAATGACTAGAAACTAGTTGAAACATGTATTGTTTGTTTTATTTGTTAAAAATATGGTTTTTAAAGGGACATCTATAAGTTCTTTGTACCCAGGTGCAGGAGTAGAAGGGGCGCACAATGGTTGAAATTATTATTTTTATTTTATAAATATAGTTTGATAAGATAATAATTATTTTGTTATTTAATTGATTAAACTTATTTCAACAATAGGGGCGTTGCGACAATTATCTGTACGTAAATCAAATTTATTTTTGGGTTTTGATACACAAAGAATTTGAAATATATAAGGAGAACATTATGTTTAAATGTAAAGTTTTCTTTACATTTAAACATAATGTTTAAATGTAATTGAAATATTTTTTCATTTTTTATTATTTTTAAAAATAAAAATAATAAAAAATGAAAAAATATTTTCAATGGGGTTTAGATCTGGTGATATATATATATATATATATAATATATATATATTATATATATATATATATATATATATATATATATATATATATATATATATATATATATATACACATATAAGCCTATATATATATATATATATATATATATATATATATATATATATATATATATATATATATATATATATATATATATATATATATATATATATATATATATATATATATATATATATATATATATATATATATAGGCTTGTTCGGGAAGTGGGTGCGATCGCACTCAATAACTGACAACATTTAAATTTATGTATGTTTCCTTGTTTGTCTGCAAAATAATTAATATTTTAATATAAATTTTGTTTTACGGACATACATGGAAACATACATAAACTCGATGCACTGTGCGGAAAACTAAAAAAAGATGATTCGCGAACACAAAAATCCTGCCAAATCTACAAACAACTAATTCTATTGGTTCAAAAAATACTAACCGAAATTTCTAGAGTATTCAAAAAATACTAACCGAATGTTCTAGAGTATTTTGTCGAAATACTTTTAAAAGTTGTATTATTTGAGCTTTGTTATGTTTTCGTTTTGAGAATTTGTTTTAAGAAAATACACTATCAAACGAACTATTTTTTTAATACTATGGCTCATTGTGATGTTTTTTTAATACTAGATGTGTCATAGTATTAAAAAAACGAACTATTTTTTTAATACTGTGGCATATCTACAAAGCTATAAATGTTTTAAACTAACATCATTTGTTTACAAAAATAAATGTTTTAAGTTTATATTTTTTAACTTGTCGAAGTTTTGTAAATATATTATAGATCTTATTAGTATATTCTTATTTTTTATATATAAGGGTTGTATTTTTTATGTATATAATGTATTTTTATTTATGTAATGTATTTTTATGTATGTAATGTATTTTTATGTATGTATTTTTTACGTATGTATTTTTTATGTATGTATATTTTATTCAAATTTTTAAAGCAATTTGTGTGATTGATTTTGTAAACAAAAATACTTTCAATAATAACTATGTTTTCAATGAAATTAATAATCATCAAAGTTAATACAAAAAAACTTTACCCACTAATCCATTTTCCTTAGTGTACCCGATAACTGATTCTTTCCCCCAAGAAAGAAAAGTTTTTAAGTTAGAAATTGGTTTCCTAACTTTAATTAATTTTGCTTCAGCCATTCTTACAAACTCGTTATACTTAAACTTAAAGTTACTTTTTCTGTTTTAAATACTAATTAAAATTATAAAGCCCACTCACTAAACATTTTAGGCGGTATTGTGAAGCAGTTCCGCTTCCTACTCCCATTTTAACATTTTTAGGTAATTTCTATTTAGCTAATTGAATTACAGTATCTCAATGATTTAATTGTTTCATTTGTTTATCTTACTAAGAAGAATTTTTTCAAATGTGTTAAACTTTTCAAACTACGCAAAGCATAAAACAGTTATTAAAAAAAATTTTTTATTTATAAATAAATCATCTAGCGTTAGCTTTATTGGTTGAATCTTGTTGGACTTTTCAGGGCCGGGTGCTGCATTATTTAGGTGGCTTTTTTTATGTGTCAGAGCGTAAACATGACTAAAAAAAATACCGAATGGTCCTCTTGACTATTTCGTGCCCCCTAACATTGTGAGTCCCGAGGCTATAGCCCTTCTAATCCCCCCCCCTCCTCAAATTAGCACTGGAAATAAGACACAAGTATATAAACAAAAATTATATATACTCTTTGATAAATTGAAAAACATTTGTTTTCTTAATGAACAATCATTAATAGTAAGTTGTTACTTTATATAATAAATGTAGCTTAATTTTATAATAAAAAATTATAAAAGAGCGAGGTTTCAAAGTTAATATTATTGTTTTTTTTTGTTTGTTTTTGAAATGTTCTCAAAGCGACTAAAAAATCTGGCTGGTTTTTTGCAACAAAATATTATTTTCATGATAAATTATCACCCGCTTCCCAACCAAGCCTATATATATATATATATATATATATATATATATATATATATATATATATATATATATATATATATATATATATATATATATATATATATATATATATATATATATATATATATATATATATATATATATATATATATATATATATATATATATATATATATATATATATATATATAATTATAAATATATCTCACAGGATTTTCCTAGATACCAGGCCTTGTGATAAAGCGTCGGGCGATGTGAATTTTACGTCGTCCAAGGGCGATTTTGCGTGTAGCTAGGGCTATTTGCGTCGAGCAAAAAATTTTTTGTTTGAGTATATTTAAAGATATTTTTGAGCGGAATTTTAATGAAGTAATTGACGATTATTTTAACATTTAATAAAGTATTTTAAAAACCGCATGCAGTTGAAATAAAAGTTTGAATTTAAAAAAATTAAATATGCTCATTATTTTCAAGTAGAAAAAATTCAAAAATTAAAAAAAAAAGTTTAAATCTTTTAAGCTAATATTTTAATAAAATTATTCAGCAATAGCAACGTTGTCGATAAAATTGAACAAAAATACTTTCTTTTAGTTTTAGATTTTAAACTTAAATAATTAATTTACAGGGGTTTGATAGGTTTTAAAATTATTCCATAGATTTAAAAATATTTATTAACTGTTAGACGTATTTAAAGTATTTAAGAGTGATTTCGAGGAAACATTTTAAAAATTGCTGAGGGCAAATAAAAAAAAAAAAAAGATTAATATTAAAACGTATTCTACTTGATTCAATGAAAAAGTACAGTTATTAAAATTTTTGTAAAAAGTAACTCAAAAAAATTACTTATACTAAATAATAACGATCGCTTTTATGTTAAAAGTTACCGAAACTCAACGAAGCGTGCTCAAGAACAGCTGCTGAAAAATAGAACGTCAATAGTTTTTCGAATAATTTTTAAGAATAATTTTTAAGAATAATTTTTTCGCTAAAATATTTCTTTTATATCTATAAGATTTTTATTCTAACATTTTATTTTATTTTACTAGAAATAAAATTCCTTGTTAACATTAAAAATCTATTCAAAACGTTCGTTTAAGTTTTTTATTAATACGAGTGATTGTGCTTATCAACCGCTTTATGAAAATAAATAAAAATAAATAAATAAATATTATATAAAATCGCTTGTAAAAATATTAGCTATTGCACAGTTTTTAATCGTACAATATTAAAATTTCCAGTTAATTACTCGCTGACATTTTAAAAAGAAAAAATAATTATTTGAAAAACTTTAAATTACATATTTAAGAAAAAAAAAAATCAAATATTAGCATATTTTATAATCTTTTTTAAATTTAAGTTATAATGTTTTTTATTCGTTTAGTATAGACAAAACGTGACAAACTCGAGAAAATAAACAAATGTTTTTACATTTTAAAAAACAAAACATTCCAAAACATTTTTAAATAATAACATTTCTACATAAACGATTTAAAGTAGTTTTGCGGTAATTAAATAAATTGGTGCAGTTAATGTCGATAAATATGAAAAGCAAATAAAAAGAATTTAATGACGTCAAAAATCACGTCGTGCTTATGCGTCGCGCAGCTCTTATTCATCGCAAGGCCTGAGATACCATCTTTTGATTTGATGATATTATGAGCACTTTGACATCTTTAAACATGCAGTAATTAATAATTCAAAAATATTCTGATGTAAATTAATAATTCAAAAATATTCTGAATTTAGAGATCAGTTGGATCAACTGCATAACATTTGCAGTAAAAATTATGTGATACATCTTTGTAAGTGCAAAAATAAGTACACTAAATCAATGATAACATAACATAAGTGCAAAAATATGGACACAAACAATGATAACATAACGTATTAAAGTCAGTTGAGTGCAAAAGAGCAACCAAACTTATTTGCTCAAGCTCTGGCTTGTCATTGTTTAAAAATACAAATACTTTTCATATTCATTGATTTAAAAGGTTTTTAATAATAAAAACTACATTTTCTTATTCACATTAGTTACTTAAATAAGTAAGCAATTGCAGACAATATATTACAGTCATTCAAATAACGGGTGATAACTAAAAAATGAGAATAATTCTAACCCCCTGAAATCAACCTGCAAAAAAAGGAAAAGTACTCCTATATGAAACTATACTTTCTCTGTTTACAAACTTATCATATGTTTTTTTTTTTGCATCAGTTAACTCAGTTGTGTATTTTCATTATTGTAAAGTTCTATCAAATGCACGAAAATCTCAAAAAAATAGAGTCATTTAAAAACTGAAAATGTTTGAGTTTCAACTATTTACCATATTTTGGAATCCTCAACACCCAACTGCAAAAGTGGTAGTGGAAGACCAGCTAAAATAATTAACAATAAGGAACTTTGTTTGCTTCACGATGCTTTCAACGACAATGATTCAATAAGTCAATGAGATGCTGCAAAAAAGTTCAAGTGTATGCATCTTATATCTGCAAATTGTTAAAAAAACAAGGAATAGCAATGCCGCTGGATGACCTGAAATTACTCTGGAAAATGTTTTGGATTGGATGACAAAAGTTAATTCCCCCTCTCCAAAATGCAAGTTACAGGAAATGATCGATATTATGCAGATAAAAGTTCTACAAAACCTACAAAAGTAAAATACATATATAAACACAAGTTTGAGCAGAAAGTGATGCTGTACATTGCCATATCTGAGAGGGGAATTTCTAAGCTATTGTTTAAGCCAAGTGGTTTGGCTATTAATCAAGAAGTATACTAAAACCAATGTTTGAAGAAAATATTAATTTCAATTCTTTAAAAATATCATTCACACTTGATTTGGCTGGATGAAGCATCATTGCATTATGCCAAAAAAAACACAAGTCTTCTTGGAAAGCCAAAACATCCCATAACAAACTTGCCTCAGTGTTGCCCAATTGAAGATTTCTTTAGATATTTGAGTTCATTAGAATACAAAAACAACTGGAGAGCTAAGAATTGCAAACAATTGATTGATTACCCGAATCGAAAGATGCATTTGTCAAATCAATATAAATGCTGTACAATGCTTCTGTTCCAACATCATGACAAAACTACGTCGGACTGCTTATGATGGATTCGAATGTTCATTAATTTTTTCTTTAAGATAAGTGATGTATCTTCAATTAAAATAAATATAATTTTCATTTTAGTTATCACCCGTTATTTATATCATGTATTCTTTTTAAACTTTTATTTTTAGGATACAATTTGTCATTAGACAATGCAGTTGTCTTTAATTTGTCATTAGACAATGCAGTTGTGAAAGATTTTAAAAAAGATGTGATAAAAATTTAAAATGTTGTACTAAATAAAATTTAAAATGTTGTACTGAATATTGTTCAAAAAGCAACACTTTCTATATAAAAATGTTTTAAGTATTATAAATATGGTCTCACCAATATTCTGAACTTTATCTTTCATATGAGGTAGAGTTAACTAAAAAAAATTCAAAAGATATTTTAATATTTTAAAAATGTTTCCCAATTGAAAAAGTAAACTTTTTATAACCTGTTTATAGGTATTTAGAAAATCACTCCAACATGGTTTCAAATGATTTTTGACAGTAGGAGCTACAAGAATTCCAACCTAAAAATGAATTTAAAGTAAAAAATGAAAAGTGGCTTTTTTAGCATAAAAATGAAATTAAAAATGAATTTAAAGTATATCAAATTTATTATTAGAAAAAAAAAGTAAAATATTATGAAAATCAATTATTTAATTATATATTCAAAAGTCTGATTACTCGACAAAGATAAGCTCTTGCATAAACAGCTACCAATGGATCAGCAATCCCACGAATTTGATGAGCTAATCGTGATAATGCTTGAGCATATTCACTAGTATTTTAAAAATGATAACTTAATGAATTTGTTTTAAAATTTTATAACCTTATGCCACTAAAAATTACCATACCTAGCTGTTAAAAAACTATAGCATTTCAGTATTGCCATCTCCACATACCTTGTGTAACCAGTTAAAGTTTATATTAAAACTGTTTTTTTTTTTTGAAAAAAAGTTCTTTTAAGCTTAATCAATGCATAACATGTTAATAGTAACACACACACAATGTTTAATTAATAACACACATACTTTTTTATACTTTGGTCTCACTGAAAGTTGATTATAACTGAAAACTGTGCTTTACTTTTGACATATTTTCTTACAATATTGTATAATAAAACCTATACCATTTGTTTTAGCCTTTAGCTTTTTTCTTTTCTTTTTTTTTTAATTTTATTTACCTCCCCAAAACCAAAACGTTCACTACAGTCGGGAAGACTTTATTGTAATTGCAATCCTCTCTTAACTGTTTAACTCAGAAAAATGAACCTTGACATACAGCCGCTGCGCAGGGAAACATGTTGAGCACATTACTAACAGGGACATGGTGGGGATCAAACTTGGAACTTCTTGTTTATGAAGTGAGTGCTACTACCACTACCACATAGCTAAAAGAAGAAACTGATAAAAATACAAAAATTATTACTATATATTTACTTATGTAAATTGATTATTATTTTTGAAGTTTTTATATAATTTTGCTTCTTTTGAGTACCAGGTTGACATACTTTAGAACTTCTTTTTTCAAAATATTAGGGACCCATCAAACTTTTAAGGGTCTTGAGCTACCCCTAAAAAGATTTTTTGTTCAAAAAAATTTTAAACCTAGTGTTTTAGTATTATATAGAACAAATTAAAAGGGTCAAGGGAGGTTTTTCTCAAAAACATTGTTTTAAGAGCCAACCTAGTATGTATGTATGTTTGTACGTTTATTTTTGTATGTATATATGTATAAGTATATATGTTTGTATGTATGTATGTTTGTATAAGTTTATCAAAAAAAAAGCATCTGAAAAAGCATGAATTGTAAAACATTTAGGATATCAAGTGAAAATATCCATAGACAGGGAACTTAGTACATTCATTGATTGTGGGTTTCTTTGTTTTATCACATGTTTTTAAGACAAGATAGACAGGAGTAAAAATAAAATTTCCTAAAGCATTTCTCTTATTCATCTTTTTCTAAAAATTTAAGGTCTTGCTCAAGAGCAAGACTTTCTTCCATTATATCTTAAATATGTCAGGAAACAGTTATACAGAAAAAGATACAATCTTGGAATCAACTCTCGTATTGAAGCAACTTTGTAAAACCAATTTTGGCAAGTTTCTTTAGCTGAAACAGGAACCTCTTCAGGAGTAAAATTATTTGAGAGAGTCTTTGGAATATTGCTTCCAGCAGTATATACAACAGATTTCTCACGAATTCTATCAAATACCAAACAACCTATAAAATATCACATTAATTTAAATGCAATTTTTTAAAATTAACCAGTTACCCTTAAACTTAACTTTTATCTATTTATTAGTTGGTGGAATACCATATTGGGATGGGGACCCAGGTTATAATTTATCTATTTTTCTAAACCCAATCTTGGTTAATTTTTAAAATTGTAAAAGTTTAATACTGCCTATAACTGTTTTTATCTACAATAAAAATAAAATTAAAAAAATGGAGCATAGCAGATGTTAGCATAGAAGGTAACATTAAAAGATGCTATATTATTTTATACGTTATTTGTTTACATAATTGATCTTTTACACACACACACACACACACACACACACACACACACACACACACACACACACACACACACACACATACACACACACACACAAATCAATGACATCATATACTGAAACTCTTAGAAATAAAAAACGCGTGACCTTCTTTTGTTTTACTATGCTGACCTTCTTTTGTTTTAATGAAAAAAAATTTAGCCTAAACATTTTTTTTATCATCATCTTTAATATGAACACAACATGTCTCAGAGGTTTATTATCCCTTTAAGGAAATGGTCTATAAAGCAATTTTTCCTTATTATTAATAATTTTTACTATGACCAAAGCTTAAGTAGTATGACAACATAAATTTCAATCCATCTGAAATATAAAAAATAAAAATAAAACAAAATAAAAGAGGAAACTCCATATCAGCTAGTAAAATCATTACATTGTATTTGAACATCTATTAAAGTTTCCCAATAAAAAACTTATGAATTATAAATCAAACTTTAACTTGCTCTCTAACCTTGCAGGATTAATTTATCATTTATATTAATCAAATAACGTTATGCAACATTAATTCTCCTGAGATTAACAGAGATTTAAAATAACATTAATTCTCTCAATTAACAGAGATTTAAAATAGGGCGCTACTCAAAAATTGTCAGGTATTTCAACTTGATTAACACTTTTGAAAGGACTCAAAAATTTTCTCAGCTCTTTCAAAATGTATAACAGATTTTATGTTCAAAACTTGCAGTTGACTTTTACGCTAAAGTCAATTAACTTTTAAGAATTTTTAGTTCTAAGTCACTAGTTCTAAGAAAATAAAACTATTTATGAAAAATTAAATAAATATTTGTGCATGCTCATGGAAAAATAATTAAATACCTGTATATTATATTCAAGTAAAATTAATTAAATATTTGTGCATGTACATGTAGAAATAATTAAATAAATGTATATGTTCATGTAAAATTAATTAAATATTTGTGCATGAACATGTAAAAATAATTAAATACCTGTATATGTTCATGTAAAATTAATTAAATATTTGGGCATGTACATGTAAAAATAATTAAATACTTGTATATGTTCATGTAAAAATAATTAAATATCGGTGCATGTACATATAAAAATAATTAAACAACTGTACATGTACACATAAAAATAATTAAATATTTGTGCAAATGAGGGATTATTTGAACTACTATTTTAAATACTTTATATTAAGATTATATTAATGAAGAGATGCGTCCTTTGGTTACGGTTAAAAAACCAGCTTTTCGTCAACTGCTTTGTGGGTTTAATTCTAACGTAAGTACCATGTGTCGCAAGACTCTTAACAAATGTTTAAATTCAAAGCTTTCTAGGATGCATCATTTGTTTGCACTACTGCTGATATCTGGTCAGTCAATAGAAAAAGTTATCTTGGCATGACTGCACATTATATTAAAATGCCACTAGATGATTCTAGTTCGGTTTCACAAGCGGTTTCACAAGCTGCATTCCTTGCTTGCTGTCAATTTTATGGTAGTCACACATATGACACAAATGCTGAAATAATTTCTAAAATTTATTGTCAATATAACCTTAACATAGAAAAAAATCTCAGCAACTGTCACCAACAATGCGTTAAATTTTGGAAAAGCATTCAGAGAATTTTTCATAGAGTCAACTACAAGTGCAGCAGCAACTAAGTAAGTGTTGTTTGAAGAACAAAAGGATATGAAAGAGGATGAAGTTAATAAGGATGAAGTTAATGAGGATGAAATTATGTAATTAATATTGGAGACATTCATTAAGTTTCACCAGAACATAATGATGATGATGATGAGTCCATAGCCAAGAGTATTTCTTTGCCATCTCATGAAACATGTATCAGCCATTCACTGAAACTATTGATGGCAACTAAAGATGCTAAGAAGGCATGTGATACAGACAGTATGTTTAAGCATACCTACAGTGCAGGTCTGGCAAAATAAACTTCAATATGGAATGCATGTGTCATATATTACAGACAAAGCAATATTCTTCCCCGTGGCAACACATTGCAATTCTCAGTACGATGCTATTAAGCAATTACTTGAAGTATGTGACAAACTTAATGATATATGTAATGCTTTGAATGTGCCAATATTTTAAAAGCAAGAATTAGAATGTCTGCAAGAATATGCCTTGATCATGAAACCTGTTGCTACAATATTGGATACTTTGCAAGGGGATATTGTTTATTATGGCCATGTGTTTTCACATTTGCATAGCTTATAGGTGAAATTGGAAGTGTTTCAAAGTTTTCAGTTAAAATATGCTAAATTATTTGCTGCAGCATTGTTAGCAAGTATGAAAATTCGTTTTGAAAAGGAACTGAGATTTGATGTGAGTAATTCATACATGATTGTTGCAGCAGTTTCGCACCCACTTTTCAAGTTAAGGTGGTTGCCAACAAATAAACAAGTTTTCTGCAGAGAAATATTTTAAATTTCTGCCAATAAATGCCATACTAGCTGCCTGTGAACCGTTGACAGCAACCAATCTCAAAGTGAACACTGACAGTACAATTGAAAATTTCGTTTATATAATGATGACACTCCAAATACCTGTGCAGCAAATGGCACTCAGCAAGAATACATGATGTATCTGAATGATAAAGATATAAGTTTGAATGCTCTGAGTATAAGACTATTTGGTCAAATCCAGTACCACTGTACCATTGTTGGCTCCAGTTGAACGACTATTTAGCACAGTGGGACAAATATGGGACAGCAGAACAAATACGGGACAGCGGGACCTAGGCATAATTGTCTATGTGATATAATGTTCGAACAACTGCTGCTGCTAAAAATAAATGTGAATGACTGAATGAATGATATTTAAATATAAATGTAGTATAAATGACTAATAACTACTTTTGAGTAATGAGAGTGCGTAAAAATAAACTTTGCAATGGCGTATTTTTTAATTATAAGTTTTAAAAGTCATTAAGTATTTCCTATTTATTATTTAAAATACTTTTTTAAAAGTATTTTTAATTTAAATACTTTCGGAGTATTTGTATTTTTATTTAAAATACTTTTTTGTTCCAGTATTTGTATGTGTATTTTGAATACTTTTATAAAGTATTTTACCCAGCACTGTGTGCATGTACATGTAAAAATAATTAAATATCTGTGCATATACATGTGAGTAATTGTGTATGTGTGGTCTTCATTATTTTTATTATAATCAATCAGTTTTTTTTTTCCAAAGTTAATGAAAACTTTGTTTTTAATTTGTTTTAAAATGTATGGAAGGGACAAATTAATTAAAATTTACAAGATTGAAAAAAATTTTCGCAACAAAAAAACAAAACAAATTAACTGCAACAAAAATAGCTTTAAATATGTTTTAAATATTACTTAAATAAAACAGATGTTAATCCAAGTAAAATACAAATAATATATATATAAGTACAAATACAAGATAAAAATACTTATTGTTATATGGAAAAACCTAAAAAAAGTAGAAATGAGATACTTGTGGTCAAAAATGTTTTTTTTTTAAATTTTACACATTTTAATTTTAAAATTTGTCAATATTGTTGTAAAACATGATGAAACTTTTTTTTTTCTCCATAAAAACCAAGAAATTTAAAAACTAGCAATAAGATTGCTTTAAATTCAAATGATATTTGTATATTATGTTTAAAAAATATTTTCTAAAAGAGTTTTGCAACTCAAGTTTATTTTATAAACATTAATAAGTAATTAACTAATAAAAAGTAGTAAACTCCTGATATTAATGATGAAGTAAATTCCTGATACTAATGTTGAAGTAAACATCTGATACTAATGTTTAAGTAAACAATAATATATTTATGGTTCCACTACATTAAATAGCCTTAGTTCTTATCGTAAATTTTTTTTAAATGGTCCTATATCACAACTATCATCATTAAGTAAGTACTTAATGTTATAAGTGGTTGTGTTAGCAGTGGTGAAAGTAGAAGTTATATTGTATAAAAGAATAAAAAATAAATGATGAATTATATATAGTGAGTGAAAATAACTGAGATTAAATGATTTGATGAGAAAAAGAATAAAAATTAGGATGCGAGACAAAGTAAGACCTTTAATGATTGCATCACATTTACAACCTTATCAATGTATATATAACTAAACTATATTAGCTTTTATGCATTTTTAAGTTTACTTATAAATCAATTGATTAATAATTTATAATAATTATTAAAACTCAAATAAATGATATAAATAAACAAATTAAATTAATAAACTACTAATGAAATAGTTACTTGATAATCTAAAATTCTTGGTTTATATATGATGAGATATATGAAAAGTAATTCTTACCAAAATTATCCAATATATCTGTTATAAGTACAAACTTGCTTGGATAAAATAAAATAACATCTGTATCACCCAACATTTTAGCACACTGAAAAATTAGTTTGATCATTTTATATTGTAACCAATTAAAAATTAGTTTGATTATTTTATAGTGTAACCAATTAAAAATTAGTTTAATCATTTTATATTGTAACCAATTAAAAATTAGTTTAATCATTTTATATTGTAACCAATTAAAAATTAGTTTAATCATTTTATATTGTAACCAATTAAAATTTAGTTTGATCATTTTATATTGTAACCAATTAAAAATTAGTTTGATCATTTTATATTGTAACCAATTAAAAATTAGTTTAATCATTTTATATTGTAACCAATTAAAAATTAGTTTAATCATTTTATATTGCAACCAATTAAAAATTAGTTTAATCATTTTATATTGTAACCAATTAAAAATTAGTTTGATCATTTTATAGTGTAACCAATTAAAAATTAGTTTGATCATTTTATATTGTAACCAATTAAAAATTAGTTTAATCATTTTATATTGTAACCAATTAAAAATTAGTTTGATCATTTTATAGTGTAACCAGTTAAAAATTAGTTTGATCATTTTATATTGTGATTTATTAGGGTAAACTGGGATAAAGTGAACTAGGGGTAAAGTGAACTATTTTTTTAAATTAAAAAATTATCACCTTTAAAAAACTTTTTATTAAGTAATTTAGCATTATTTTTGCTTAATACAACATTTAAAAATTAAAATATAGCCTTTGTTTTGATGTAATAGCCAAATTTAAAAAACGAGTTTGATGGAAGTTTTAAAATTACCTTCTCAAACTTTGCGATAGGTTTTAGTAAATTCAAGATTTGTTGTTATTAATGTGAATATCAGTTATATACTTTATATACTTTTTAAAGATAATATAATACTGCTTTAAAAAAATTGTAGTTTTTATCATGATATAAGCTAAGTTTTTAGTTTGTAAATCAATTTAGTTCACTTTACTTTTCTGTTTATTGGGGGTAAAGTGAACTAGACTTTTTGTTATGTTTTTTCATCAAATATTTTTAGTAGAATTGTGTATATACATCGTAATTACTTAACTGAATTGTTTACTCTTAAAATAAATGTTTTTTTTTAAATATTTTTAAATTTATTTTCAGAAATATAATATATTGAAATAATGCCAAGAAACTACTTTAAGAAAGAATAACCTCAACGAAAAACATATGCACCTAATTTGTTGCAAAATGCTATTTCTAAAGTTAAAAATAAAGAAATGTCTTCGTATGCTGCATCAAAAGCATATGGTGTTTCGAGAAGTACAATTGCAAGACATCTTCAAGGCATAAAATGCTTAAAAGCTGGTGAAGAGCGACCAAACCGATTATCTGCTAACGCTGAAAAAGATCTTGTTTCGCTTTTATCTGCATTTTCTGATTTTGGATTTGAATAAAATTGGATAAAAAACAATTTATGAAACTTGTTCAAACATATATTTAAACGGATTTCAGAAAAAATTTGTGAATGGTATTGCTGGTGATCATTCATTTTGTAATTTTATAAATGGTTGGCAGAAAAAAATATCTATAAGGACTCCAGAGCTTTTGACATTAACAAGAACCTTAGCTTGTAACCAAACTGTAATTGATGCTTGGTTTTCATTACTTAAAGCTAGATTGGAAAAATGTGACATTATGAATAGATCTGCTTAAATACTAAACTGTGATGAAAGTGAGTTTTGCACAAACTCACTAAATAAAAAAATTATTTACAAAAGAGGTATTAAAAACCCTGTAACTATTGCTCCTGGATCAGGAAAAGAACAGTTTACTGTACAAGTAACAATATCAGCTGCAGGAAGAAATTTTACTCCATTTATTTTATTTCCTGGGAAGAATTTGTATAAAAAGTGGATGTCTGGTGGACCGAAGGGTTTCTTATATGGGGTAACAAAAAACAGTTGGATGGAAACAAACGTTTTCACTGAATACTTTAACCATCTTGTTTTATGGTTGAAAGATACTCCTAAGTCTGATTTGCTTATCTTTGATGGTCATATGAGTCACATTTCTTTAGAAACTGTTAAAAAAAAAGCAGTTGAAAATCATATAACTATTTTGAGTTTGCCAGCACATTGTTTGCATTTGCTTTAGCCACTTGATGTGGGAGTCTTTTGTCAAGTTAAACATGTATGGCGTGAAATTCTGGACAATTGGTATACCGAGTCAAGGCTGAAAGTGGTTGGGAAATCTGTTTTTCCATCTTTATTAAAAAAACTTTATGATACCTCCTTTAAGCCAGCTCATTTATTACAATCATATGCCAAAACTGGAATTTTTCCCTTTGATCTATCTGCTATAGCATCTGACAAGTTAACTCCTTCTGAAATCTATGAACATCCTTTTTCTCAGAAAACAAATAACTATAATAATAACATCCCTCAAAACATCACTTTAGACACCAATTTCAATGATCAGAACAATAATTGTGAAAATTTTTTGATTGAATCAACAAACAAATACAATTCACAACAAACTATAATATCAGTAGAAAAATATTTAAACAATGAAAAAATAAATCAACAGCAATATCAGACAGATTTTTTTATTGGAAATAAAACCATAAGAGAAATAGTGAAAAAACAGTTAATGACCACAAAGGGTGGTGCTCCTTCATACAACAAACAACCTACAGAAAAAAAAAAAAAAAAAGACGCTATGGAGGTGAGTGTCTTACATCAGAAGATGCAAGAAAATAAATGCTTTAAAAGAAAGACCAAGCAGAAGGCAAAATACAAAATAAAAAAATTGATTTATCAGAAATAAAAAACGCAAAAGAGTTAAAGATGAAGTAGTTCACTTTACCCTAATGTGGGGGTAAAGTGAACTAGTAAACATGTTTTTTTTTTGAATATATATTTAATAATGTAACAATTTTTAACCTTAGTATTTTTATTTTATATTGTACCTAATACTGTAAATAATAAAAAAATTTGAAAATTGCAAAATGTTAGGCTTTTATTTTGAAAAAATTTTTCCTTCAAATATCAAAAACAGTTCACTTTACCCCAGTTTACCCTACATTTACTGCCAGTTTACCCTACATTTACTGTCAGTTTACCCTACATTTACTGTCAGTTTACCCTACATTTACTGTCAGTTTACCCTACATTTACTGTCAGTTTACCCTACATTTACTGTCAGTTTACATTTACTGTCAGTTAAATAAAAATTAATTGAAACTAAAAGATCATATTTGAAATAAAAAAGAAAAATAATTAAAAAAGAAAAATAATTAAAACAATTGAAATAATAAACAATTGAAAAAATACTTGTATAGCTATCTTTAAAGCTTTAACTCTTTGTTCAGAGCTCCATGCCGAAAGTAAAGCCTATGTAAAAAGTTTAAAAACAAAAAATACGGAGTGAAAAAACCTTTATTAAAAAAAATGTCATTATTAACATTATTTTTACTTTTTAAACTTAATCTTTATTAAAATTTTCTTTTTTCAAAAAAAAAGAATTAACATATCACGCTTATATAATGAATAGTAACTTCTAAATACTTTTGATTTTTTTCTAAAGATTCAAAATGTGAAAGTGTACAAAGTATTACCTTACTTTTACACTATAAGCATGTAAACAAATTAAATAAGGTGAGGTGAACCCAGGTGTCACTTCACCTTATTTATCTGATCACTGATGTCACTAGTTTTCTTACTTATAATAACACTTACTGAAATATTTTGTTTAATATTTAATACTTCAATACATAATTCATTTAAATCTTTTTTAACACTTCAACACTATAATGTAAGTGCTCATTCGCAACTTCATAAACTAACAATAAAAGAGATGTAGTGGTTAAACTTTTACTCAAGTAAGAGGTTAAAGTTCTTAAAAGTGTTCAACTTGTTTTCTCCATATTTGTCAATGTCTTACATTCGTAGGATATAGAATAGGGGATGTGTAACAATTATTTTTAAAATATTATTATATAACAGTAATATACATATATATATATATATATATATATATATATATATATATATATATATATATATATATATATATATATATATATATATATATATATATATATATATATATATATATATATATATATATATATATATATATAATAGTAATATATATATATATAATATATATATATATATATATATATATATATATATATATATATATATATATATATATATATATATAATAGTAATATATATATATAATATATATATATATATATATATATATATATATATATATATATATATATATATATATATATAATAGTAATATATATATATAATATATATATATATATATATATATATATATATATATATACATATTACTATTATATATATATAGTGAAAATTAAATAATTATTAAGATATATTTCAATTACATTACTAGAAGTTTCACGCAATAACTAACATCAGATGTAACAACAACAAAATAGTAACGACAAAAATTATATACAAAAAATGCTATGGAGTGTCCGCTTTGATGACATTAAAGTTATTTATTAGAAATTTATTTTCATGGTGGCATTTTGATACAAGCTCAGTTTGTTTGTTAAGCAAATTTAATATGTGATGTAATAATGTGTTATTTTTCTGTCAAGCATAAATTGCAAAATTTACCATTTTTAATGGCTCCACTAGATCAAGAATATTCCATTTTAGTATAGGTTCTAAAGCTTTATTTTTGCAAACCCACTTAAAGCAATGATCTTTTTTAAAAATATTTGAGTTGTTAATGATGTTGCTGATAGAGGAGTAAACTTAATGAAAGACTTTTCATTGTCCCTCGCAAAAGATGAAAAACCCAAAGTGTGTTACAAGTAGTTGAAAACCAAAGAAAGTGTTTCAGTTTAGAAAGTTAATATTTAGTTTTACCAATTTCAAACAACTTTTAACAAACTTTTACTAATATTACTATTTTCCATTAAAATCAATTTGTAACAGCTTTGCGTATTCTTTTATATTCAAATGTATATGTTAGAAAAATGTGATGATTTTTTTTTAACAAGAATAATTTTGATAGTAACTCAAGATATCATGAGAAATACCAATAAATGTGGAAAATTTAAAATATTTTAATCCCCATATTAAATTTCTTATCATGGCCTATGATATTTTTTCTGAATATATGTCAAATAAAAGTTAAAATTGAGTATACTTGTGTGTTTACTTAAAAAAAAAAAAAAAAAAAAAAAAAAAAGTTTTTTAAATTAAATGATAAGCTTGAGAATTAACGGAAATAAAATTTTGTTTGAAAACAAAATAATTTTCTTGTTTAAATTAATATTCTTATCTTGTAATGTTTTTTATTGTTTTTATTTGAAAGTTAATTTTGTTGTTATGAGTATAACTTTTATATAAATAAAAATATATATATATATATAAATTAAATATTACAATTAACTTAAAAAAATCCAACTTTTACCCTAAATTTATATAATATATAAAGTGTAAATTATCTGTTGATTCTCTTTAATCAACTCTTTTTTAAAATTAGCGCAACAGTTTTTAATTGAATTCACACAAGAATTTCCCTTAGAAAACAATGTCCAAATGGAAAATTACAATTGGACAACAATTTCAACACTATAATTTCCTTAAGGGAATTGTAATGTTGAAATCGCTAATATTTGTCCAAACAGAGCATATTGTTAATTATTGTCCGAAGGGAATTTTTGTGCAATTATAATAAATATTGGAAATACATAAAACTTGTCAATTTTATTTTTAACATTTGTATTTTATGCAAACCAGCAACATTGAAAAAACGTCTTATATTTCATTCTAACAAAATGAATTCAAAAAGAAAAACAAGTTTAGCATGAAAATACTTCATAATTGAAGCAAAAAATCCAAGAATAGTTCAGTGCAAAATATACAACGGCAAAGTTTCAAGAGGATCAGACGACTCCAAAAAACAAGGATTATATGGACTAAAGACACACCTGAAGAATTATCATCCTGACATCAAATTTACACCAGAAAGTTCAGGAAATCCAAAAGCCAACAAAAAAGCAGAATTGAAATTAAAAAATTAAAGAGAAAGACAGTTCCATTCTTCAATATACGATCGAAAAAAACAAAGAATTGACATGTTAAAAATCTACAATTCCACACTGGGTTCAAGCTTCTTCAAAAATTGACTCTAATTCAGAAAAAGGCCAAAAATTTCACAAGTCAATATTTGAAATGATGGTTGTTCACCTCCAACCCTGATCTATTAAAAATGATGCTGGGTTCTTGAGGCACCATGCTCTTGTTGCTCCAACTTATGAAAAAATAAAATTGCTCTCAAGGAAAAGTTGGTTCAATCAGAAGCTGAAAGTGTGTCAGTCTGTCTTGATACATGGTCATCATTTCACTATGGCTACCTGGGGATGACAGTTCACTTTATTTCCAAAGATTGTAACCGTGTCAAATTCTGTTCTCAATTTGATGAAAGGTATAGCGCAAAAAACATATCTTTAGTTCTCAATTTGATGAAAGGTATAGCGCAAAAAACATTTTCAACAAGATCAAAACAACAGCAGAGGAGAGAAAAATTTCTTAAAAAAATGAAGTTTGCTTGAGACAATGCAGCATATGTAAATGCTTAATGAACCAATCTGTAATTATGAGTAGCTGGATGCCTTAACCACTCCCTTCAACTTGTCATCAAAAAAGAACTATTTTCACATCTAATCATAGAAGGAATGATTGCAAAGAGTTGAAAACTCTGTTCTTACTCATCCCATTCTGGATGAGTAAGAACAGAGTTTTCAACTTACTCATCCCATACTGCTTTCTATACTGAACTTTACAGACAGCAAGAAATCCATATGGATACAAAAGTCAGACTTGGCTTAAAAAGCGATGTTGCTACAAAATTTCCTTCAGTGGGAATTGAATTTTCTGTCCAAGATTGGAGTCTCCTTGAAAAAGTGGTGAACATTCTCCTTGAAAAAGTGGTGAACAGGAATTTTTGAGGCAACAAAAATATTGTCAGGTGTTGACTCTTGCATCAGTTCCTCTATTTCAATTGTGACAACAATAATTCAAGCTTTGGAAACAGCCTCCAGCGATATCAGTGATCAGGAGTTGAAAATTGCTATGAAAAATGAAATGGAAAAAGTTGAAAGACTTTTTTCTACAGCTAGAGATATTCTCTCAAACGAAAGAAACAGAATCCATCCAGAAAATTTGGAAAAACTTCTTTTTTGTTGAGAACATTTTCCAGTTGTTGGATTCTGTTATTAGTTATTTTTATCAATTTAATATTTTGTTTAAACTAAAACTAACTTTAAAAAACAATATATATTATTGATTTTCGGTTTTGGTTTGGGTTTATTAACTTATTTATTAATTATTATTATTAAATTGAAAATCGTAATGTAAAAATTACATGGAAAGTAATCACATAAGAGAATACTTTATAAAAGTTAAAATTTGCTTTTATCTTTTATCAATATTGTTTTTAAAAGAAAAGATTTCATTTTAAAAGAGTTTATCGTCTTCACATTAACAGTTTCATTTTAAAAGAGTTTATCGTCTTCACATTAACAGTTTCAAGATTTAAATTGTTCCAATTGTTGTAAACTGAATTTAAGAAAAAGTTATGTCTTGCGTTACATTTTGGAGTGTATTCTCTTGAGAATCTTTAGTTGTGATTTTTGCTTTTTTTTTTTTCTTCGTCTAATACTCTATTGGTTATAAAATTTATTTGTTTTTGTAATGAAATTTGATTGTAACCATATATTATTCTATACATTTGTATAAGGTTTCCACAAATTTTTCTTTTCTCTAATGATTCCAGGTTAAAAACCTCAAGTCTGTTTTCATATTTCATTTTTTTTAAAGATGGAACCATTTTTGTCGCTCTTTTTTGAACTTTTTCCTAATGATCTATATCTTGTTGTTGGTTAGGATTCCAAACTGAGACAGCATAGTCTAAACGTGGTCTTACAAGAGATGAATATAATACTTTCATAGCGCAGACATCCAAATTTCTAAAAGCTTTATTAACCATTCCCAAAATGTGGTTTGCATTATTTGCTGCTTTTATGACTTGATTGTGCCATCTTAGTTTATTTGTAATAATAATAATACCCAGATAGAATAATACCCTTTTTCTATTTCTGTTTCTTGTAGTATTATATGTTCATTATTATCAATCAAATTTACATGAAATATTTGAATTTTTTGTTTTTTACTTCAAAGTGCATAACTTAACATTTTTTTTTTAATTGAAACACATACACCATAGGTCTGCCCATTGTTGCATAGATATAATATCATCTTGAAACTTTGAAATTTTTGATTTGTTGTTACTTGAAGCAATTAATTGTTCATGTTATTCTGTTCTGGTTATGATATATACATATATATATATATATATATATATATATATATATATATATATATATATATATATATATATATATATATATATATATATATATATATATATATATATATATATATATATATATATATATATATATATGATTTAATGATTTTTACGTAAAGTATACTTGATTCGTCTTCTTTATACACAAGGCACAAAGAGATACAAAAATAGCCTGCTGCTGAGGGCTTCAGCACATACATCGACTGACAAATAGCCTGACTTGCAGCAGAGTGCTGCTACATCGACTGGAGGTTTGGCAAGAGGCAGCAATCTTTTCTTTCATTATTCTTTGTTTTTTTCTTCTTTTTCTAAAAACGCAGTATACTATAAAGATAAGCAAAAATAGTGGGCAAATGCTCATCTAAACAAGCTATAGAAGATATATATATGTATATACATATATATATATATATATATATATATATATATATATATATATATATATATATATATATATATATATATACATATAGGGCCTGAAATAGCGAACTTTTTTATACCGGACTATTTGTCCGGTAAAGAATCAAGTTTGCTAGACATGTCTAATGAAAATTAAAAAAGTGAGATTGAACGCCATTTCTGAACAAGCCTAAAATGTTTTGTTTTTACAACTTTACCACGCAATTTGTATGACAACTTTAGACGTTTCAACATGCGCTAAAAAGAAAAAGAAAATTTGTACGATAAATTATCTATCAAAAAGAAAATCTTAAAGATATAGAAAAATCTAAGCTCAAAAAACTAAAATTTAAAAAAGAAACGATATTTACATTACATTTTTTAAAATTTATGTTATGCAAAATGCTTTGTAAATTGTTAAATACATAAATTTTTACGTAAATATATTAAATACATAAAATATGTAATTATTAAATATGTAATAAGTATGTACACTAAATACAAAATTATTAAATACATCAATAATTATGTAATATATATTAAATACATAAATTATTAAGTTATTACTTTATTAAATTAAGTTACGAATTAATTCTAATGTTTACAATAAACATATCTTATTTAAATTATCAAAGTATAATATAGGTATTTACATTTAAATAAATATGTAATTTTTTTATAAACTTTTTCTAGGATTAATCTTATTAACACTTTTAATAGCGAATACTTTTAGCGCAAAAACAAACGTTATGTAACAACTCAAATTTAATAGTTTAATTAAAAGTACTGGTTTCTATAAGCATTAAAATAACTATGACGTTTAAAATTTTTATTAAACAAATTTAAAAAGGATTTTGAAAGCTAAAACAATTGTTCAAGATTTATAAAAACCATCGGGAAAAAAATATAGAAATACTCAACTATAAATTTAAATTATTAACTAATTGCAACATTTTAATATGAATGATAAAAATCGAGCTACTTAATTCGAAAAAATGTAAAGCTTTGGCGCCTTTTAAAATGAATTAACTCAAAAAAATGACGCATTTTATTAATGTAGCTTTGTGTTCAACTTCAATTTTGTTTCGTATAAAAAATTAAAAGTTCAAAAAATAAAGTTTATATTCAATATTGACAACTAAAATGATTAGAAATCAATTGCACATAAAATATGTCTGACAAAATGATCAATAGATGTGGTTTTTTACCAGACAAGTGCCGGACAATGGCCGATGTCCGGCGCTTATATCAGGCCCTGTATATATATATATATATATATATATATATATATATATAT